AGCAGGGGGGCAGGGAGGCACTCGCCATCCCGTTGAGGGGTTGAGGGACAGGACCTGAAGGTTCTCCGAGGGGAAGGCGAGCTCAGGGTCAGCGGCCAGCCTGCCAGGGCGGGCGTGGGGGTCCCCGTGCTGTGTCTGTCTCTGGTCCTGCACTGGGATGACCCTGCCTAGGTCTGCAGGCGGAGCCTGAGTTACAAGGTGGGTGGTGGCCTCTGCTCACGGCCCGTCTTCCCCTCAGCATCATCAGTTGGTTCATCCGGTCCTTCAAGTACTTATACGGCCTTCGCTTTGAGGTAAAGGGCCGTCAGAAGCTGGAGGTGGACCGCCCCTGTGTCATCATTTCCAACCACCAGAGCATCCTGGACATGATGGGTAGGCCGGCTGCGGAGGGTTTGGCGGGAGGGCCGGCCCTTCCCAGTTGCCTGCGGGGAGGGGGAGGAGGGGGCATGCTGCTTCAGCTGGTGGAGGCTGGGCCCCGAAGAGCTGGCAGGTGAGGGGCAGATGCGGACCGCGGACCTGTGCCCCCCTCCAGACACAGGCCTCCAGCTGGTAACAGGAGACAAGGCTTCCTATGCCTGGCGCCGGGCTCGCGAGCCCTGCTTCAGCACTTTCCCTCTGCAGGGGAAACCGAGGCTGAGGCCAGGTGATGCCCAGGTAGCCAGTGGGAAGGCGTGACTGGGCCCAGGCCTCTTGGTGGCCGAGGCCGAGGGCCAGCTCGCTCCTCCGCGGGGCGGTGGCCACCTGGCTCTGAGGCTGTGCTCTGTCTCTGTCTCCCCCGCCCCCTGCCCCGGGCTCAGGCCTCATGGAGGTCCTCCCCGATCGCTGCGTGCAGATTGCCAAGCGCGAGCTGCTCTTCCTGGGGCCCGTGGGCCTGATCATGTACCTGGGCGGCGTTCTCTTCATCGACCGGCAGCGCTCCAGGACGGCCATGACCGTGATCTCTGATGTGGGCAAGCGCATGGTCAGGGAGAAGGTGAGCGCCTGGGGCTCGGGGCCTGCTTGGCGGCGTGAACACTTTTGTGCTGTCGGGACAGCCCGCGAGCGTGACTCCCTTTGGCAGAAGGAAACGCGTCTGTAAACCGCATACAGAGAAGCCAGGCGCGGTGCCTCGGCCGTCGGCGGTGGTAGCGGCGGTGTTCCCGGCTGAGCGGCGGGGCTCCTTGGGGGTGGGGGCCCCCCAGGGGCAGCCCCCTGACCCGCCTCCTGTCTCCCCAACAGCTCAAAGTATGGATCTACCCCGAGGGCACGCGGAACGACAGTGGGGATCTGCTGCCTTTCAAGAAAGGTGCCTTCCACCTGGCCATCCAGGCCCAGGTACGCCAGGGCCGCAGCCAGGGGTTGGCTTAAGGCTGAAGGTGACCTCCTGGCCAGGCGAGGCCACTGGCGCTCCTGGACCACCTCCCGCTGGGCAGGCGGCAGGGCCTCCCCCCACCCAGCACCTGTCCCTGACCGGCTAAGGAGGGCAGGGCCGCTTTACCCACTCTGAGCGTTAAGGCTGGCACCTGATCCGGCCCAGCGCCAGCTAGAATGATGCTCGTGGCCACCATCCCTGTGCCTGGAGCTCCAGCACCCCGCTTCCTAGCTGGCCAGGCGAGGGGCCTGCGGAGGGAGGCTGGGGTTGGCCTCAAAGGCGGAGGCAGGAGGCCTGCTGGCTGAGCTGTCTCCAGAAGGCTGTGCCAGGCGCAGGCCCCCAGCACCCCTAGCTGGGCGGGGGGCGTGGGCAGTGGCTCGGGGGGGCGGGGCCCGCGGCGTGAGGCAGGGTCGGGCCGGAGCTGGAGATGGGCCAGGATAGGTGAGCTGGGAGCCCTCCACGGGGCTTGATGCTTTTCTGGTCCTTGACTTGTAGGGACGCAGTTTGTCCTAGAGGTGTCCTGGGGTCTGGGGTGATGGCAGGAGAGGCTGGGGCACATCTGTCCTTCGGGTGGGGTCTCCTGGTAGGTGAGGGGTGCCCTGTGCTGGGGGACTTGTGTAGGGGAAGGCAGCCATCGTCTGGGGTCAGGGGAGGGGGCTTTCATCCTGCCTGATCGGAGTCAGCGGGGCAGCTGGGCAGGGGTTTGCTTTTTCTCCTGTCCTTCACCTGTGACAGGTGGCCTCTAGCACCCCCTGGTGGCCCTGAGCAAGGATGTGAGAGCCCTCCTTCCAGAAGCTGCCAGCCAGTGCCAGGCGGGTGTGGGAGCTGGACCGTGGGGTGGAGGGGCCCCGAGCCGGCAGTGGGTGCGTGGGGATGGGGGCGTGAGCCTGGGCTCTGCCCAAGCAAGAGGAGGAGGACACCCCCGACACAGGCCTGGAACTGAGGTCACTTCCCTTCGCCGGGGTCGTGGAAGAGGAGACAGGAGATACCGAAGGAGCTTTGGGGGGCCGGGGGCAGCAAGTCTCAGCCAGGAGACTGGGCGTCGTTTGCTGTCATCCCTCTCCCCGGCCCCGGGTCGATGATTACCCCCAGGTGCCATTTCCGACATTGGCATCACCATTGGAGTCACCATTGGACTCAACGCTGGTGTCTTCCAGGAATAGCCTGCCGCCTCCCCTGGCTGGAGCTGCCCCGTCTTCCCTGGGATGGGGGAGAGGTTGGGAAGGGAGGGGTGGGCGGAAAGACCTCAGGTACCTCCTCTGGCTAAACTGGACAGGGCCCTGGTTAGTCTTAGGACCCTGTGAGGAATGCAGAAGTGCATTCTATGGATACGTGCCAACCCAGAAAGCCTTCCTGGAGAAGGGGATGCTTGAACGAGGGTGTACAGGATGTGCACTCTGGGCCCAGGGCGGGAAGGGCGTCCGAGGCCCAGGGGTCAGTGTGTGGAAGCGCCCTGGCGCAGGATGTGGCCACAGGGACTCCTGGCACCAGCCCCAAGGTGGGGGCAGGCTGGCGGCCAGGCAGGCCTCTCCCCAGAGCTCATCCTTGGGGATCAGGCTGGGCTGGGTGAGGGCTCCGGTCCATCCTCAGGCTGCCACGTCTGCCGTCCCCAGGTGCCCATCATCCCCGTGGTTTACTCCAGCTTCTCCTCCTTCTACAACTACAAGACGAAGCTCTTCACCTCAGGTACCCCCAACCTGTGCACTCGCCGGCCCACCTGTTCTCAGTCACTGCGACACCCGTGCCCCTGAGAGAACAGTTCCCGTTTCTGGGTGGTCACTACAGACCCCTGCTACTCAGTGGCCGCTTGGGGAAGGACGAAGGCAGGGAGGGGAGGGTCTAGAGTCCCAGCCTTGGGCTGCGGGGAGACTGAGGTGCCCAGAAGGTGGGCTCCGTGCCCAAGTTCACACACACAGGCCCGGGCTGTGCACACGGCCCCGGGGGCCTTGAGGTGGCCCCTTCCTGTGCCAGGGTGGGCTTCTGAGCCAGCGCATCCAGGCCTAACTCTCGGGGGCAGCAGCCTCCCGGGCACCCCCATGCCCCCCAGCCATGGAGCTTGGGACCTCCCCCCGCCCTTCCCTCCAGACCCTGCACAAGGGCACCTGGTGCCCAGGTGGGAAGTGGGGTCCAAGATAGAAGCTGCCTCTGCCCACATCTGAGGCCCCGAGGCCGCCTGAACCACTGTGGAGGGTGGGGGTGGGAGGGAGGGTGGGTACCTTCTGGGGGAGGAAACGTCTGGCCCCTGGGTGGTCTTCACGGGGGAGCACACACTTGTCCACACCCACTGAGAACATGCTTGGGACTCGTGTGTGTGACCGTGTCGTTATTCTCCACTAAAAGCCAACCACCCGGGACCAGGGTGTCTGGGGAAGAGCCCGGCCCGGCCCCTCGGGAGGCTCTGCGGGGGAGGCTGGCGGGCAGCTGAGGAGAGGAGGGGCCCCCCCTGGAGAGCCCCTCAGGCTGCTGACGCCCCCCCACCCCACCAGGAACCATCAAGGTGGAGGTGCTGGACGCCATCCCCACCGCTGGCCTCACTATCGCCGACGTCCCCGAGCTCTTGGACACCTGCCAGCAGGCCATGAGGGCCACCTTCCTCCACGTATCCCAGCTTCCCCGGGAGAACGGGGCCCCTGCAGGGCCCGACGCCCAGGCATCCCAGTAGCCGAGGCCTGGGGCGGGGCAGGACCTGGCTAGACAATGGACAGAGCGACCCCTGCCCACCAGATATCACTGTGTCCCCTCCCACGGCTCCCCCAACTTTCCTCGGGCCCTGGAAACAAGGGACCCCTTCCTGTCACTGGCCTCAGGTCCAGGCCCCTGATGTCCCTGCAAAGGAGAGTCACCTGGAGCCCCCCAAGCTCTGAGGGCAGGGCCTCACCCACCCTTGTGCCTTCGGGGTCTGGTGTGGGAGTGGGCCTGGGCCCCGATGGGCTGATGCGGGGGGGGCCAGTCTGCCCAGCCCCCACCCTCCTGCCTGGGCTTGGGGGGCACAGAGGCTGGATCTGGGGTCCCAGCCACGGCCTGCATCAGGCTCTCGGAGAGGCGGGGCTCTGGGGGGCCAGGACGCCTAGTCTTATGCCACCTGGGCCTCAGGGCGGCCAGAAAGCAGTGTCTGTGGCCCCCACCGGCCTTGGGGAGCAAGCCTGCTGAACTGGTACTGCGCTCATCATTGTTTTTTATAAACGAACTCTTGGAAGTACCTGGTGAGTTGTGGTCACTGGGGGCGGGCAGGGCTGCCCTCGCTCGTCCTCCCTGGGAGGAGTGTGGAGCGCCAGCCTCTGCCCTCGGTGGGGCTCCCTGCCAGGGCCTGGGCCCACGGTCATCCTGTGATATTTCTTCCACTGGGGGTGGCAGGCGTGCCCAGGGGTCAGGCAGGCACTTGGGAAGGAGGCTGCAGAGCTGCTCTTCGGCTGCTGGCTAGGGGTGGGGCCAGCTCGTGGGGGGGGCGGGGCGGGGCTGTCCCTGTGGCCAGCGTCACCTTCACGAAACCACCTGCTCCAGCTCCTTTTGAAGAGGGGGCACCACGACCCTGCCTAGGAGGGCCCAGGGGGCGCGCTGGCAGCCTCCTCCCTCCCAGCACGTGGTGGTCGGCCGGGGGAGGCCGGTCAGGTTCAGAATGTTCCTGCAATCCAGCCACGGACACAGCGGCTCAAGTCTTATTTTATTCTGATGATGATCAGGGCTGCCTGGTGAGCAGCACAGGGGCCAGGCCCTGGGCAGGAAGCCCTCGTACCTTCCTCAGCCGTGGGCCCACCAGGCCCCCAGAGCCGGCTGCGGGGGCGCAGGGGTCTGGCCGGGCTCTGCTCACAAGGCCAGAGTGCTGGCTGGGCTGGGGCTGGATTCGCACAGGAGGGCCCGCACTGCCCCCTCCCCACGCGGGGCAGCGGGGGGGCCTTCCTGGTGGGAGAGGTGGCAGGGCAGGGCCCAGGGCAGGGCAGGGTGGGGCCGGTGTCCTCGGACTCTTGGTGGCCAGAGCGGGGGCCTGGGTCGGACTGTCACACCTCCTTCTTGCAAGAACCTATGGGTGGAAGGGGTGGGGCTGGGGTCAGCAGTGTCCGTTCCCCACCAGCCTCCGGCCCAGCCAGATCTGCCCGCTTGGCCTGTGGCTGCCCCTCCCTGCGCCCTCTGGCCTCTCTGGGCAGGAGATGGCCCCAGCCTCGGGGGTCCTAGGCTACCAGAGGGGGACTCTGTGGGTGGGGAGGTCACAGGGACCACGGCACTCACAGGAGCCCAGCTGCTCCTCCAGGAAGGAGATCTGCTCGCTCAGAGAGTCAATGCGGTCCAGCTGCCGGAGGGAGTGGGCCAGGAGGCTGCCCGGGTCCGGGAGCCCGTGCTCCAGGGCCCGCGAGGCCAGGCTGTGAAGCGGGGTCAGCACGAGCTGCAGCTTCTATGGGGCAGGCGGAGGGCCCGGTGGAGAAGGGCCTGTGTGACCCTGGGCCAGCCCCTCACCCTCCCTGTTCCACAAGGATTGAAGGACAATAGGGTGGCCAGCAAGGGCACCGCCAACCCCCAGACTCAGTTCTAGCTGCAGGGCCCTGGACGTCCACCAGAGTGAGCTTCTGCGCCAGGAGACCGGGGCAGGGGGCGGCACAGACGGATGTCACACAGGCCAGCCCGGCCAATGGTCCCTGAGGCCTGGGACCCCTGGTTGGAGGAGCTAGGAGGGGTGGGCAGGGGTTGCTGAGGGGTCTCGGGCCAAGGACCCTGCGGAAAGGCCGCAGGGGCACTCTGTCCCTGCAGGGACAAAGGCGGGGGTGGGCTGGGCCGAGTCCTCGCTCTCTGTGGGGCCCCGCCCCCTCCTGTACTGGCATCCCAGACACCGTCCGCTGCCCCTGCCCAGCATGGCGCCCAGGCCAAGGGCACCCTAGGCTGTCAGCAGCGGGGAAGCCTCCCGCCCAGGGCTCCCCCACTGAGCCCTGCCCCCATGCTGAGGCCCCCGGGTACCCCGCCCAGCCCTCACCTGCTCCAGCACGTCCACCCTTGACTGAAGCCTCTGCATTTCCTCCTTCACCTCACTGCCCACTCCTGGGGAGAGCCGGGTGCCGAGTCAGGGGGGCCGGGCTCGCATCCCGACGCGGGGCCTCCAGCCTCTGCTCCAGGTGTGGGGCGCAGCCCCAGGCACCGGGTTCCTGCCCCAGCTGTTGTGGCGAGTCCTCCCCCAACCTTGGGTCCTGGCCGTCCACCAAGGCCATCCTCCTGGTCCGGAAGGTGGCTCTGGGCAGACGCAGCCTCACCCCGCCCGCCCCTCGGTGCTGGGGTCCCCGTCATGCTGAGGGGCTCTGGGCTGAGGTCCATGCCGCACTCTCGCTCTCGGTGCCGGGCTGCCAACGGCGCATTATTACTCACGGTACGAGTTTGAAGTGTCACAGCGCGTACCAAAAGTAATAATGTCCCGTCACCAGCGGAGGGAGGTGCTGTGTCTCCAGGCTGCCCAGGCAGGGACACATGGGCGCCTTCTTCCACTCCGGGCTGAGTTGAGGCCCTCCCCGCGGTCCCCGTGGGAAGCCACCACCCATCCACCCTCCAGTGCGCCCGTCACCCCCACCACCTCGGGCCCTCCCTGCCCACCCCCCAGGCGCATCAGCAAGGGGGGCAAGCGGGGAGTTTACCTGTCGCGGGGTTCGGGGCCACCCTGGGGGCCCCTCTCCCGGGCAGGCAGAGTGCCCCGTCCACAGATGGGCTGTGCCCCTCTCGGCACTGACACCAATAACTGCCCGCGGTATTGACACAGCGCTGGGGACAGCCGCCCCTTCCAGCCCTGCACTCATCCACATCTGTGGGAAAGGGCTGTCAGGCAGGGGCGCCCACCCTGAGCCCCCTCGAGACCCACCCATCGGTGGGCTACCCAGGACACACAGGAGGTGCCCGGAGGCCCCCTCCCCTCTGGGAGGGTGGAACCAGCCTCACCTGTCTGGCAGGTGTCGCCCTGCCATCCTGCAGGGCAGTGACAGCGGCCGGGCTGGACACAGCTCCCCCCATTCTGGCATGGTGGCTGGCATATTGCTGCGGGTGGGTGGGGAGGCCTGTCACCAACTCAGGAGGGTCCCCAGGGCCCCGCAGGGGTGGCAGCCAAGGAAGGGGTGCCGTGCCGGAGATGCTCATTCAGGTTTTGAGAGACAAGCAGCTGGTGCTTGGCCCCGGATCTGGAGAGCGGGAGGGACCGCTCCCTCGCTGGGTTCTACTTAAACTGACCCCAGGCGCCAGGGGCCCGTACCTGCTGCACAGGACCCGGGCAGCCCGCTGGTCCTCTTCCAGCCGGGGCAGCAGGCATAGCGAGGCCGGGCGGGGGCCAGCCCAGGGCTGCGGCGGTAGGCAGTCCTGTAGAGGGTCCTGCGGGATGGGTGGGGGCAGCTCAGAGGGGTGGTGGGTCTCCTGGGCCCCGGCCGGGGCTTCCCCAGCCGCTGGCCTTCCAGGCTGGCTCCGTCCCCGTGCCCTCCAGAACCACAGGAGCCGTCTCCCCCAGCATGGACAAGGTCACCCAGGTGTGCCCCCAGAGGTCCTTTCCCCCAGGGATGGTACCTCTCACAGCACAGGCCACCTCCCCGGCCCAACCTGCTGTGCTGAGCAGGACCCCGAGGCCTGGGAGGAAGCCCGGCTGAGCCTGGCGTGGAGCAGAGGTGGCACTGCGGGGGAGAGCCTCCTGTTCTAGGGGTGGGGATCTAGGCCCTGAGGGGAGGGGCTTGCCACACCGTCTCCCATCCCCGACTAGGGAGGTCTTCAAGCACCTCAGAAAACAAAATCTTTTAAAGCCACATTCCCACAGCGGAGAACCAGAGAGGCACGCCCCTCACACTGGCACAGGCTGGGGCGTCCTAGGTGTTGGGGGCGGCAGGACCTCCATCTGTAACTGCCGGGGGCTGCCACGGGGAGAGGGTGCCCACTGGAGCCCCAAGGGCAGGGCCAGGACGAGGAAGCTTTCAGGGAGCCACGCGGGTAGGAGACTGCAGCCAGCGATGCTGGGTGGGGGTGGGAGCGCCCCCAAAGTGGAGGGGAGCAGACAGGGTGGGTGAGCCCCCTAAAATGAGGGTGGGGAGAGGATGCGCCAGATGCCCTCGTAGCAGCTGATACTTGAGGTCACAGCGGTAGCTTCCTGAGTCGGGACTGCCCAGGTTACAACAGGTGTCAGTCTCCGCCACCCACTCAGACGTGGCCTCGGCGAGTCCCTTCCCTGCTCTGGGCCTCAGTTTCCCTTCTGGGGCGCACTGCCCTCCCAGCCCCAGGGCTTGTGCGTGGCAGATGGGGCCCTGCGGCGGCAGGCGGCGCTCACCGGTAGGTGCTGCAGGCTCGGTACCCATCGCAGGTGGTGAGGAAGGGCTGGTACACACGCTGCACAAAGGACTCGGACACGGGGCCCCTGGGAGCCCCGATGACACACACCCTGCGGCTATGGGGTGATGGGGGCCAGAAAGTCAGTGGGGGGGCTCCCAGGGCTGTGACCCAGCCCCAGAACCCAAGGGAGCCGGAAAGCGGGGAAGGGGTTTCCCAGTGTCACCATGGGAAAGACCATCGGCAGGAGCCACAGGGAAGCCTCGGCTCCGCAAACACCGGGGGCTGCCCTGGGGAGGGGCCGAGGGCTCCCCGCCGCACACCCCCACCTCCCGAGCGCCCAGAGGCCGCGCCCTGGCTCACCCAGGCCGGTAGACGTGCTCGGTGCCACCCGCCGCCAGCACCAGGAACCAGAGCAGGAGCAGCTCCTGGGAGCCCCACATGGCCTGTGTTTCCGGATGGAATGGCCTTCTCCTCAGGATGGCCTGAAGTGCAAAGCACAACCCTGGAAGTCCCTCTGCAGACCCCGCCTCGAGCCCGTGCCCCTCGTGGAGACTGTCCTCTTGGTTCCGTGACACCCGCCCAGCTCACCCACTTTGTTGGGACCTCTCACCGCAGCGGCAGAGCCTCCACGGGCGGTGTCAGCTCTCCCCGCCCCCATCCCACCTGGACAGGGAGGCCGGCCCCTCACCAGCCACATACAGCCCGCCCAGGGGCCACAGAAGGGCCACGACATCCGGGGTCTGGGAACAGAAGCTGAAGCCCTTGCCTGGGGAGAGGGACACCTGGGCAGCGCTGGGCTTGGTCAAGTTCACTGGGGAAGGTGGGGGCCCAGGGCGGGCATCTGGACTACGTCTCCGTCCCCTGGCTGGGTTGGTGCCCTTCCCACAGGGCAGGGCTTGTACTCCCCGCCTCAGTCTGCAATTGGGGTGTTAGTGGCGGGGCGGAACCCCCCCCCAGCTGGCTGTGCCCTTGTGGCCTTCAGTGACCTCACGTGCCAGACGGGGAGCCAGCCGTGGTGGCTTGGGGGTCCACTGGGGTGCAGGTGCCCAGCAGGCAGGGGCCACTATGGTCCTCCTCAGGGTGGGGCCGGGGCCTGCACTTAAGAGGGGGGTCACTCCCCTGCCGGGGACTAAACCGCTAGTGCAGACAGCCTCCAGGGCTCCCAAGACAGTGGCCCTACTAGGCACCCAGATGGTGGGGGGACTGGAGCAGCCCCCCCACACGCCAGTGGAGCCGATCACCGTTCCTGCCCTGGCTGTGGATGGGAGCCGGGGAGGCCCAGAGAGGGATTCCCGGGAGCCCCCAGCCGGGAACTGATGGTCTGTGGCAAGCCCAGGGGACGGGGGCGGGGCTGCTATCTGTGTGCACAGCCAGGGGTCTGGGGAGCTGGGAGCTCTCTGCTCCCATGCTCCGGGCGCCCCATCTGAGGTTTCCCCCAGGTGGGCTGAGCCTGGCCCTGCAGGCCCCCCCCCGCCGCCGCCCGCGCGAAGGAAAGGGCACAGGAAGGAGATGAACTGGTGTGTGTGGTGGGGCGGGGAGCAGAGGCTGGGTACAGTCACCTCCCTCTCTGGGACTCTGGGACTCACTTTCCTCAAAGACACCACTAGGGTCTCGGAGGCCCCTCCTCTGGCTCCTCTGGTTTACGGTCAGTCCCTAAACCACCATGAGCATCACTGAGCCCCAGATGCCCGCCCAGGCCGACCCAGAGGGAGGCGATGCCACGCCTGGTCCACGCGCGGGTTCAGCTGGGTGTTCGGGCCATGCTCTTCCCACGGCACCACGCGGCCCTGGGCTGGGCAGGAAGGCAGCTGCACGAAGGCTTTCCTGCACCTCCTGTTCTCTGTCACGGGCCTGAGAGGGGAGGGCTGGGTGGCCGAGCAGGCAGAGGCTGCAGCGGGCAGCTGAGGTGTTGGACTTAGTTTTGGGGCGGCGGGGGGGTGCTTCTTAGCTGTTTCTGGGCAGGGACATGTCCTGCCAGTCAGAGTTGGCTCGGAAGATGAACTCTGGGGGGAGCGCACTGTTAGACAGCGGGCCTGGTGGCGGTCCAGGCAAGAATTGAAATGGTGGGGACAGGTGGTCCTGCGGAGTGGGCCCTGGGAAGGCAGAGGTGGGCCGGGGGGCTGGCAGGGCTGGGCAGGGGCCTCCGGGTTCCGCACACCCTGAGCTCTCCCACGCCGGCCACCTGGAGGGCGGGGCATCTCATGCAAATGTGACTGTCCTCCGCAAACACCCACCCCAAGCACCTCCCCAACCTATCGGAAGCTGGTTAGAAAGGAAATCGTGCTTTTTAAAAGAAGAGAGTTGATTTTTGAAAGTCACGCTTTTCCCCTAGGCCAGAGGAAGCCGATGGCGCTGACCAGCCTGTGCTGGGCTGGCAGAATCCCATTTCCCTTTGGTGTTACAGCCCTGCTGGGGCGGGGAGCCCGGGCAGGGCGCTCTGTGGTACCTCCAGAACGATAAGCAATAAAGTCCCATCCCCTCTGTCTGCACGAGCCCTGCCACCACCTTCCCTCCCACCTGCCCCGGGCTGCCGCCTCGCTGACCCCACCCGGGGAGACAGTCGTTAGAGGGAGGGGCCTGACTCCACCGCAGGGCGATAGCCCTGGTTCCCCCTTCCACCGTGAGGGGTGCTTTGGACGTTTGGATGGGCGGGGGTGGATGCGGAGAGGCGGAGTGAGATTACAAGACTGATTCCCTGGGGGTGCGCCCTCTCCACCGCCCACCCCACGTCTCCCCTTCCCCCTGCACGGCCGGCTCCGTGGAGAGTGGGAGCGAGGGTGGAGTGACACGTCCCCCCGCTCCGCCACCGCAGGGTACCGCTGGCCTGGGCTGCGGGGTCCGGGGCCCGCGAGGCTCTGAGTCAGGCCCTGGGGGAGCCGCAGGGCCCGGATAGGGGGATGAGGGGCTGCGGCGCCCCACCCCTCCCCCGCCCGGGCCCACCCGCGCGGCCCGGCCCGGGTCACCTGTCACCAGCAGGGGGCGCCCTTTCCCAAGGCCGCTGGGCCCATTCTCCGGACCCAGCCGCGAGATCCGGGGCCGGGCTGGGGTTCGGGTGCCCGCGCGGCAGAGCCCGGCGCTCCCGGCCCGCTCACCTTTGGGCTCCCCGCGGTCGCCCTGCGTCGCCCCCCAGCTCCGCGCGCGGCGAGGCCCCCGCCCCCAGCCCGAACGTTGAACAGACCCCCGCCCGCGGCCGTCCCCGCGTCCCCAGCCGGGCGCCCCGCTCGCTCCACACTCACCGCCCGATCTGGGGCGCGCACGCGCCGCTGTCGCCACCGCGCAGAGGGGCCCCGGCCCCGCCCGCCCCCCCACCCCGGCCCCGCCCCCCCCCGCCCGCCCCCGGCCCGCCCCCCCCCCGGGTGGGCTCCGAACGCCCGCCCGCCCCCATTGCGCAGGTTGGGAAACTGAGGCCCCGCGGCGGACGGCGCCCCGGGGGCCGTGCAGTGAGTCAGCTGGAACCGGGTCTCCTGACGCACTACCCGCCTCCGAGCGCTACTGCCCCTCCCAGCCGGCTCCCGAGGACGCAGGGCTGAGCCAGCAGCCAGGTGCCCGGAGGCCGCATGGGGAGCCCGCGCTGGCCGCGGGTAGCTAGCTCTCGACTCCCCTAGGCTGAGCGCCGACTCCCGGGGATGGCCATAGCCCCCGGGTGGCCAGCTCCCTAGGCACCGGGGGCTGGCTAAAGCTGACCGCTGCCCTGCAGCCACACGTGGGGTGGACGTCAGTGATCCCCCGGCTCATAGCCGGGACTTCCAGAGATCATACAGGTGGGGGTGGGGCTCGGCAGAGCGCCGCCGGGTCCTAGGTGCAACACCGAGCCTCCCTCCCAGCCAGTGTGCCAGGTTAGGGGGTCTGCCGGGCTCCCACCTGGTGCCCCCTTTGTTCAGGACAGTTGGGACCACCCCTGAGTGCTCTTCAGGCCTCCAAGGAGTCCCTCAAGTGCATGGGCACCACTGGGGGCTCCTGGGCCAGTCACCTCTCCTCTCCTCTCCAGGCTCCCTCTCCACATTTACAGCATGGGGTAAAGAAGCCCCATGTGGTGGAGTGGCCAGCAGTGCCCAAGAGACAGCAGCCGGCACAGCTGGAGCCAGGTGCCCCAGCCCCTCCTCCCCTGGGGAGCCCTCACATCTGCACCAGCGTGTTACAGCCGTTAGTGCGCGTGACACCCTGGGCCCGCGCCTCTCGGCACTTTCTGCCCTGGAACTGGAGCCCAGGCCCTGTTCGCCTAAGTGCGTGCGTGTGTGTGTGCGCGCGCGTGCACACGTGTAAACCGTGCCCGGGCCCAGCCAGGCCCCCTGCTGCTGCCCAGAGCATCACCTGTGGCACTCACCTGGAGAAGCAGTCTCCCTCATGCCCCAGACACTGGTGGCAGCGGTGGGGGCTGCCCTTTCCCCTCCTGTGCCGGGGTCTGCGGATCAGAGACACGGTGTGGGTTAGCGCACAGCCTTGGTCACCGTGACATCCAGGGGCTGGGGAGGGGGACGGGGCCGGCCTCCATGTGGCTGTGGGAGCTTGGCCTGCACTTGGACTACAGATCCCCACCCCTCTGATGGCCAGAGAGGAACGGGCCTTTCAGGCCTGCCCACACCCTGTTGCCCGGGGGTCCTGAGTCCTGGGATGGAAAGCTCTGCAAAGCCCGGGGTGCTGGGAGGGCATCCTGCAGGTTCATGGGGAGGGGGGCCTTCAGCTCGGGGGGCGTCCGGATCAGGCCTACTTTGGTGCACAGGAGGTAAAGGAAGGGAGGGGACACAGGAGGCTGGACAGGAGCCCCTTCCTGGACCAGGGGCCCCTGGAAGCCCCTGGAAGATGACCTGAGGGTGGCTGGGTGGCGGGGGCTGGGATAACTGTGAAGTGGGGGGTGGTCCCTGGCGTGGCGGTGTCTCTCCCCCCACCCCCAACCCAAGCAGGCAGCCCCAGGCAGTAGAGAGTTAAGGGCCAGGCCCAGGGGCACTGGAGGGAGAGTTGCCCTGCCCTGTTCCCTGCCCCCATCCAGTCCCTGAAGCTGGTCACTTGACCCTTTGACCTCAGGCCTGGGCAGAAAGGGGCCTGGCGAGCTGCGTGGCTGGTCCTTGCTCCGCTGCTAAGCTGGGAGGACCGTCAGCACCTGCTTTCTTATCTGGAAAGTGGGTGTTTGTCACACAGACTGCTGGGGTGGACGTGACAACAAGACTGTCAGAGGCCAGGAAGGGCCCTGCCGCTCGGGGACCTGGGCTGCTCTGGGTGGGGGGCTCCCCTAGGCTGCAAGGGGAGCCAAGAGAGCACCCGCACTGTGCCACACCAAGCTGTCCCCCGCCCGCCCCCGGCCAGCGCAGCAGAAGAGGGGCTCCTCCTGGGGCTGTGCTCAGTGCCCCCCACTGGCATGGCTCCTCCTGGCTCTAGATTTCGCTTTGGGGTTCCCACCCCTCCCCGGCGCCCCTCCCCGACACCCTCGGGGTGCTCTCCCACCCTTGGGGGACGATGCCCTCGGGACACGCAGGTCACAGAGAAGAGGGGCCTTACTGCCAACCCCGGGGGCTTCCCTGGGAAATCAGAGCGGGCGCGGGAGGGCGTGCGAGGCGCAGCGAGGCCGCCGCGCTGGCTTCTCCGGCCAGGGCTCACAGCAGCTGCTGGGCTGCCCAGCGTAAGCGTCAGTGTCGGGCAGGCCAGACTGGCATCCAGACTGTGCCACCCCCAGCGGGTGCCCTTGGCCAAGGTGAGGATGGCACTGATGGGGGCATGATGCGGTGGCCCCGGCTAGTGGAGTGCAGACCCTCGGTGCTCAGCCCGCAGGTGCCCGCAGTCCACAGAGCCCTCAGAGGGGCGCTCGCCCTGCTCTCCCCCCTCCCTGCCCTCCAAGGCCGCCCCTGCCCTACCTGGTGCCGCCCCGGGGCTGGCTCGGCCATGGCCACCACTGCTGCTCCCTCAGGCCAGGGCTGGGCCCTACCCCTCGCCGGCCGCCTTGAGGCAACTCCCGAGGCCGCCTGCCTGTCCTGTCGGAGGCCTCCGTCTTGGCCATGGGGACGGTGGACTCGGGGCAGGGAGGCTCCTCCCGGAGCGAGGAAGGGCGGCTTTTTATGCTCCGTCCCCGTGTAAATCGGGGTTGGGATGGGCCCTTCCCAGCCGGACTTCCTGTGTGTGCTGTCCGCTGATAACGGGGATCTGTCAGTGAACAAACAGGAGGCCGAGGGGCGGTGGGGGGCCGCCGAGGGAGGGCCTGGGCCCAGCGGCGGGGGCAGGGGTGGGGGAGCTCTCCCCAGGGACCAGGCTCTAATCCTGAAGCAGCCAGAGACGGTGCTCGGGCCCAGCTGCAGCCTGGCTGGTGACGCTGGGGCCCAGCTGGGCCCAGTGTGTGACAGAGGACGTGGCTGGCACACAGGGCCCTCCCAGGGCCGTGGGTCCACCAAGCT